TCAGGCAGTTGTAGGCAGCGATGAGGGCTCCCCTCAGCCTCCTCTGCTCCAGGCTGAACCCCCTCAGCAGCCTGGGGCTCCCCGCTCCCCAGCAGCCTGGGGCTCCAGACCCCTCCCCAGCTTTGTTGCTCTACCTCCACTTGGGTTTCCCAATCCAGTGTGTCGTTAACCTCTACGTTGGGAAGATCTGGCCAGACCTAACAAAAGGGAGGACACATTAAAATAATCAAATTAAACTGAATTTAAAAAAAACCAAAAATAATAATATCAACAGCAGTAAAGCTTCGCCGCTGCATAGTCCAACAGCAATGAGAACTGAAGGCATTTCCACTTGTAGCACCCAAAGTGTCACCCAAATTTGGGAGCATTGCTGATATCTGAGATTTTTTCCTCAACATCTAACCTGGCATGATGCTTATTTGGAGAAAATAATCGGCTTTTTAAGAACAGCACCTTTGCATAGATGATATCCTCGGTATTGGGCCATTTTATGAAGACATCCTTCTCCAAACCTCTGGTGAAGGCAGGGTAATTGGTCTCGTTACCAGATATGGCTGGATCCTAAAGTTTAAAGGTCATACAATTTTATTTCTCTGCTCAAAAGACAAATGCTGAAACGCTGTTGAGTGCCTTCTGTATTCTGCAACGACATTCGGTGATTTAAAACCAGAATCCAGCACTCATAGAATCACAGAATCACGGAATCATTTGGGTTGGAAAAGACCTTGGAGATCCCCAAGCCCAACCCTTGACCCAACCCTGCCATCCCACCACCAAACCCCAGCCCCAAGGGCCACGTCCCCACCGGTTTTGAACCCCTCCAGGGCTGGGGATTCAACCCCTCCCCTGGCCGGCCCCTTCCAGTGCCTGACAGCCCCAAGGGGAAGGAATTGTTCCCCATGGCCAACCTCACCCTGCCCTGGCACAACTTGAGGTCGTTTCCCCTCATTTAATCACCCTTTAACCATTAACACAAATAAAAATCATAGAATCATTAAGGCTGGAAATGACCTCCAAGATCATCACATACAACTCAACTGTCAACCCAACACACACCCCCGCCACACCTACAAAACCCTGTCCCCAAGGGTCACGTCCCCACAGGTTTCGAACCCCTCCAGGGATGGGGACTCCCCCACTTCCCTGGGCAGCCCCCTCCAGGCTTGACCACTCCTTCAGGGAAAGAATTGTTCCCCATGGCCAACCTCACCCTGCCCTGGCACAACTTGAGGCCGGTGCCCCTCGTCCCATCGCCCATTCCTTGGGAGCAGAGCCCGACCCCCCCGGCTCCCCCCTCCTCTCAGGCAGTTGTAGGGAGTGATGAGGGCTCCCCTCAGCCTCCTCTGCTACAGGCTGAACCCCCTCAGCAGCCTGGGGCTCCCCGCTCCCCAGCAGCCTGGGGCTCCAGACCCCTCCCCACCCACTCACCAGGATTAGTATAAACCTCATTCCTTCTCCTCGTATCTTAGTAATCAGGGAGGGCAATCCAGCGAAGCGCGGGTTAAGGGTGAAGTCCAGTTGCCGTTCCATATAATCAATATCTGCGTACTGGACATCCTGCAGCCCACACCAAAAAAAAAAGAATAAAATAAAACAAAGGGCTTGTGTTTGTTTGTCATGTCCTGAATGACTTCATCCATCAGCAAGTTCATTGTCCGTTTCCAAAATTAAGTAAACTACCAATTTCTTTTTTTTTTTTAAATGTTAACCCGGAATCAGCTGCAGCTTAAAGCACACATTGTCACATGACCACACACTGCGGAACCCGCCCGAAACCCAGCTTTCACTGTTGGATTTATCATGGAGAAAATAGAAATTCCTACACGCCCTCAAAAAAAAAAACCAACCACCCCTGGATTCATGCATATTCATAAATATACACCAACGATCACAGCCCCTGCACGCACGTCACTACATGCTGTCCGGCAACAAGGGCATCGCTTGCTCCATACCAAAATAATTTGATGTTAATCACCTGCAAAGCCGTGCTTAACTGAAGGATAATTTGGTTACGTCTCAAGTTTTTGCAGTTTTCCTAAAATCAGGGCTGAAGGTTGCCTTTCCCAGCACGGGATGACCTCTAACGCAAACCAAGTTGCTTTATTTTCCCGGAAAACGCACGGAGAAGTGGGCCTACAGTGCCAGCTGCAGCATTTCTTTTGCCGTTTTAAATTCGACAATACCCCAAAGCAAGACATTCCAGCACCATCAGAAGTTCTGATGGCTCTCAACGTACATAGGGTATCCTGGCCGCTTTCATGTCTTCCACCAGCTGGGCAATTTCGGTGTCATTTTCATATCCGTAGCGGCATAACTGGAATCCGAGTGCCCAGTAGGGTGGCATGACTGGTCGCCCGACCAGCTGAAAATGAAAGAACTCCTGTTGTGAATAGAGGAAAACAGAACAAAAAAACCAACAAAAACCCACCAAAAATTAATAAAAAACCAACCCCCTCCAAAAAAAAACCCTCCAAAAAAGCCAACCAAACAACAAAAAACCCAACCTAACTCCAAACCAACCCCTGAATTCGCAATCGGACAATCGTACCGCCGTGTATTCCTGAACGACAAGCTCCGGTGTTGGCCCCAGAACCATGTAGAAGTCCAGGATGCCCCCGGTTGTGCGATATGTCAGAGCCGGCGTGGGCTGGAAGGTCACGTCTGGAAAATGGAGGTAGCACAAGAAGGCACCAAGTGCCCGGGTGAGGCAAAGAAACTGAACACTCAAGGAAAAGACATGGAGAAAATAAAGGGAATTTTTGATTTTTTTCACCCATTGCGTTGCTGTTGAGCAGGAGAACTCCGTGGGCGTTGCCGTCGTCTTCAAGCCCCATGTAGAACGGGTGGACACCGTACGAATTCAACTTGTACTGCAAGGAGAAATAAAGTCTTTTCTACCACAAAAGACATGGTAAGCGTTCCGTTATTTTACTGGCTGCCTGGCAGGACTCAGATGGTTCTGATTGGTGGGGCAGGGTCTGGTTGGAGGCCGGGAGCTCATGGGGTTCCCCAGGGCTCAGTACTTGGCCTGGTCTTGTTC